AACCATCCACCCTAGATTTGAAATTGGGTTGAAGTTATAAATTTAGCGGGGAAAGTTTGAGTATCGAGTCCATTTAGTCCTTTTTAATTCTTCAAAAACTTTCAACTATATCTCTAACTTTTGAATTATATTTGAATTTAGTCTTGACCATCGTTCGCCGTGACATGCCTGCAATATATCTAAACTAACTATTTGGTTAAGGACTCGGCCAAACTTTGGAACCAATGAATTTTTTTTTTACATTACAAAATAACAGATTTCTCTCTGTATTCTCTTCTGTTAAAGTCTTCCCATGAAAGCCAAAACTGTGGCAGAAAGATGAAAGTTTGAACTTCTAAGGCATTATGTCTCATAAATATACCTGTTTTCCAACCAACAAAATGCAGATTAAATCTACTAACTTTCTAATGCCTGTTTGAAAAGATCTTACATTTGTATTATATCTTCACAAGCTGATGCTTCTTTCACAATATCTTGAAATAAACAGATAATATGAAGATTAGTGAACGGTTAACGACTTTTGATTGGGGATCCGAATTCGAACCCGGTGAAGAGGAATCCGGAGAATTCTAAAGCATACACAAGAGAACTACTAAATACAACAGGAATCAACAAAACTACAGCAAAAGGAAAAAGAAACAGAGAACTCTCAACATTTTGATGTTTTTGTCTACCTTAAGATTGATCGAAACCAGACCGGATTCTTCTTCGCCAATGATCTGTGTTGAATCCCCTTCAGATTTGTAACAAACCAAACTGGATTTATCCCAATTCCTCTTGGCCTTCCGATGGACATCTGATCAGCTCTAATATATTAACAACCTCTGTCATATCAGGCCGGTTTGATGGCACCTGAGAGGTGCATATCAAGCCTAGTTTCACAACTGGTATGGCCTCCTCAGATGGGAAGTTCCTCTGGAGCTTCCCGTCGATGCAATCCTCCACCCGACCTTCTTCCAACGCCCGACGAACCATGTCGCAGAGTACCACGACGTCGTCTTCCATGTACTCAACAGGTCTCTTCCCAGTTACCACCTCAAGAACCAGAACTCCAAACCCATACACGTCACATTTCTCGGTTATCTTAACTGTCTTGCAGGCAAACTCGGGCGCCATGTAGCCAAGTGCACTCTGTATCTTGCTGCTTAACACGTATCGGTCAAGCATCGGTAACAATCTTGCTAGGCCAAAATCTCCAACTTTAGGTTCGCCTGAGCCATCAATCAGAACATTGCTTGATTTTATGTTGTAGTGGATGATGTTCATTTGGTGCAAATGTGCCAAGCTTTTCGCTGTTCCGAGGATTATGTTGAACCGCTCGTTCCACGAGAGGACGCTCCCGCCCAATCCTTCATGAAGATGTTTATACAAACTCCCTCCAGAAACGAATTCATATATGAGAAGCTGTAGTGATGGAGTCCAGTAGTAGCCTTCTAGAGCCACAAGATTTTGGTGCCTGACCTTCCCCAACTTCTTAACCTCCCTCTCAAAGTCTTCTTGAGATTTGACAAGACTTGAAACAGTAAGCTTTTTGATTGCAACTGGATGCCCGTCACGAAGAACAGTTTGGTAAACCGCTCCAAATCCGCCACGGCCAAGCTCGCAGTCCTTGTTAAGAAGGGCATGTGCTCCAGTACTGAAGTCGGGCTCTCCCGAGAACATGACTAGCTTGCCAGAATTTGCATCCGTAGTTGGGGAGTGGCTGAAGTCATCCCCTCCAGAGAATGCGATGGCTACCGCAGGATGATTTTCAGACGACCGAACGTGGAAGTTAAGGACGGTGATCGCAACTACACCAACAAGGATAACGGCTGCTGCACCAATGGCAATGAGTGCAGAGATGCTGAGGATGATTCTTTTGTGACCAAGAGTTGAAGGTAATGAAGGAGAAGCAGAGTCGGAAGATGAGTTGGGGTTGAGAACAATGGGTTTTGGAAGGACACCAGGGCAAGATTTCTTGACAATGGAACCACAAAGAGAGGGATTTCCAGCCAAAGAGGAAGGGGAAATTGTGTTGAAAAAGCCACCTGCAGGCAGTTCACCTTGAAGGTTGTTGTGGGAAATGTTAAACAAAATAAGGTTGGGAAGATTGGACAATTGCTTTGGCAGTGCACCACTGAGATTGTTTGTTGATAAATCCACAATTTGAAGATCAGTCAGTTTAGACAATGCTGCTGGTATGGAGCCAGTTAATCTGTTTTCCGACACGTCCCTGCAAAATTCGTGGCATAAGTAAGAGCGACATCGATCGTAATGATAAAAACTCAGGAGAGACATCAGGCTCCCTCACATTCTGCTTGTTTTCAAGCAGACTTGCAGGTGAAAATAGGTAAAAGCACAGTTCAATTCAGCAAAATGAAGGAATCCCACCAAATGAAAATGAAACATAAGAGAAAATACAACTTACAAAGTTACAAGTGACGAACAGTTCCCTATTGACTCTGGAACTTCACCCTCCAGCAAGTTCTTCTCCAGTCTCAATTCTTTCAACGATACGACCTCACCGATTTCTTCGGGAATACTTCCGTTCAACTGGTTCTCACTCAAGTTGAGAAGAACCAAGGCCTTCAGTCGTCCAATACTCTTCGGTGTAGTCCCAACAAGTGAGTTCTTACACAGGTTCAACACCTGCAAGCTACTTAACATCCCAATCTCGGGTGAAATTTCACCAGAAAATGCATTGTGAGATAAATCTAAAACTTGAAGATTAACAAGTGCTTTTCCCACTGTTGTAGAAAGAGAGCTTCTTTTGACATCAGAAGGCAACACATTTTGAGAACCCAGCTTCAGCATCCACACCGGAATAACGCCGGTGAGAGAACTATGGCTGAGATCCATGGTTGAAAGGTTTTGAGAAGGAACTATGGACTCTGCCAAGCTACCAGTCAAACCATTTTCAGAAAGATTCAAAACCTTCAGATTTTGAAGATTCCCAAATGAACTTGGAACCTGACCAGAAAATCTATTTCCTGAAAGGTCCAAGACTTCAAGGCCTTCCATTTCACCAATCCATTCAGGAACCTTCCCTTCAAATAAGTTCCTTCTCAAATTAAGATTACTGCATAAACTAAGCTTCTGCATTGTCGCCGGAATGTCACCGGAGAAAGAATTCTCACCGAGATCAACAGACCTCAAGAGCAAACAACTCCCAATCCCATCTGGGATCTGCCCAGAAAACCGATTCTTCCCCAAATTAATACCTCGCAAATTATTCATCCCCTTCACCTCCTGCGGAATTTCCCCTTCCAAAACATTGTCAGACAAATCCAAAGACCGAAGCCCGGTCAAGGACCAAATCGCAGAAGGTAACAAACCAGAAAACTGATTAGAGGATAAGTTAACCGCAGCAAGACTAGAACAAGAACCCAAACTTTCGGGGATTTTCCCGGAAAGTTTGTTGTTAGCTAAAGAAATTACTCTCAACGACCCACATTGCCGGAAGAAATCATCCGGAATCGTCCCGGAAAAACCGTTGCCGCTCAAGTCGACCAGCCGGAGATTTTCGAAGCGAGCATTATTGGGGCTTAGATTTCCGGTGAGATTATTGTTCGAAAGAGATAGTTTCCGAAGAAACTGCAGCTGAAGAAGGCCACGGCCGAGCCTGCCGGAGAGAGAGAAGCCGCCGAGGTCGAGTTCAACGACTCTATTGGATCTGGGGTTGCATTTTACACCAACCCAATTACAGGGGCTATCGTCATCTTCATTCCAAGACGCGAGTTTCCCTTCAGGGTCTTCAATGTCGGCCTTGAACACTATCAGACCCAAAACGTCGTCGTTCAGAGGTGGGTTCAGAGATCTCACGAACACTGGAGCCACGAAGAAGACGAAGAACAAAACGAAAAACCCCCCCAGTAGCTTTTTCATCTCCAAAAATGCCAGCATTCTCCGCTACCAAAAATTCAAATAAACCCCAAACCCATGCCAAAGCTCCAAATCAATATTTCCAGCTACAAGAGCTCGAGAATTTTCATCACAGGAACGGAAAAACGGCAGAAAGGAAACGACAAATTTTGGGTTCGAACGGCTAGATTTGGGAAGTTGGGTTTCTTCGAATCACATCAAGGGAAGGAAATAGCAAAATATAAAGGCCCCCCTCGTGAATTAACGAAGAAGAATGTGTTTTACAGAGCTTGAATCTTTTGAAAATGGAAGCAACCCCCAGTAACAAACGCCAAATAAATTCCTTCAGCTCAAAGCAGAGTATATAGCAATATAGCTTCTGAAGTTTCTCACTTTTCTCTGAAATTGAGCTGTGGGAGAGAATAAATTCAGCGGAGTTTCTATTGTTTTATCAACGGGAAAAAGCGGAGTGGGGCGCAGAGGAGACGAGATGAGGTCTCCATCAGTACAGATTTGTGGACACGTGGCTGTGCCAGAGTGGTATGGCCTCCGATGTGGCAAACACGTAGTCCTTATCAGCAAAATGCTTTTGACATTGTGGAATACGTGGCACCTTCTCATTAGCTGGACTTGGAATGCGACTTCGAGACGAAATACTCGAACGACCCGTGTTTTGTATTTAATTACTGTGCTGCCACTCCAACCAATTTTTCGACCCGTTGCCATCACAAAATTGCTGAGGGGGGAAATTAATGGGAAATTAACAGAGATTAGAAGACTGAATTAATCATTAATTGGTTTCGTAACGAATTTTTTTCCATTTATAGTTCGAGAGAGGGAGGTTTCAACTTACTTTTAGGCCGGTGGGTAACATTGAGTATTCGGATGCTGGTAGTTTTGTAACGATTAAAACAGTATAATATATTTATATATCAACTTTAAATCAATTTGAAACGAGTTTAGTGGACAAGACATATTAAACTATTGATGAGGAAAAGTCCAGTACTACAAGAATGGATCTCACACCATTTTTAATAAGTGCCGACATGACAAATAACAAATAGAATGGAGTATGGTATACCGTAAATTTTCCCTGATTTGATTCCCACCCGTTACACTCGTTGAACTTTTAAATAATGTTATGTTAGTTTTTTTTAGTACTATATGTGGGGTGGAGGATCGAACTCACAGCCTGTTGATGAGAGATATATGTCAATTATCATTGAGTTATGTTCGCTTTCGCAAAAATTATATTAGTTTTTTACAATTTTATGGATAAGTTTTTCACATATTTGAATTTTTAGTCAAATTTCAAAAACAAAAAATTCCTTTTCGAATTTTTTTTTCCCAGATTTGACCTAGATTTTGGAGATGTGTATTAAAAAAACTATATTAAATACAAATAGGTGAAAGCTTCTAAAAGTAATTTAAAAAATAGAAAATCAGAAATGAAATAACTATGAAACGTATGTCTATCAATTTAAACTAAAAAGTGTCTAAATAAGTCATCTATGTTATTAAACTTTCAATTTTATATCCAATGAGTATTTAAATTTTAAAAAATATCTTATAAGTCATAAATTAACTTAGAAATGTATCATATAAATCCTTGAAAGTTTAAAGATTTATTAAACACATTTTTCTTAATTAAGAGATTTATTAAATGTAACCTGAGAAATTTAATGCAATTCATAATTTATCTTATATTTTTAACATTCTATATAGTTTTATAATATCTATTTTGATTGATACAATAAAAACGTAAAATAATATTTAACAATTACGAGTGACACTAGCATGAACCTAGTTTAACAGTAATTGATGGAAAGATCGTCCATTTATCTCCAAAAAGAAATAATGAAATCAAGAAGAAAGGGTGGCAGATTAGGTAAAATTGAGGAACTTGGATGTGAAAGTTCGAGGGGGAAAAGGAGTTAGTTGCTTTACTGGGAAAATAAAGCTGAAGGAAAAAGAAGAAAGTGGTGGGTGGGAAATGAGAATAGTGAGCGGTGTGAGGGGTAGAAATGGCAATTTACAAAATAAGTGCAATAAAAGCAAAGTGGATGGAGAAAGTATGGTGGCGGTGAAGATGTGATTTTTTTAGAAAGTTTTTTAGTTTAGTTGGGATTTGTCTCGTTTAGGGTTTGTAGTTTGTGAAAAATAGTGTATCAATCTTGTACATAGATTTTAGAAGCTAGTATAATTTTCACATTTTAATTCACTAGATTTCAGTAGTTTGGAATCATCCTGCTTTATTTTATACTTAATTTTGAAATCAGTCGGTAAAGAGTCAAACAAAATCCCACATTAATTAAGGTAAACAGTTATCCATAATATATAGATTAAAATAATTATCTTCACCTAATACGAGACTTTCACATTAATTATCCCGTCACTTAAAAGGAGGCAAAATAGTTGCTTGAGCAGCTTTGAATTAAATGCTTCCCCAAGGTATAGGGGACCCCTATATTTCCAGCCCTACCTCTCCTCAATACTCTCCTTTTTGCTTCCTCTTATTTAATGTCATGCCACCATCTTCTCCTCATGAATTAAAATTTCCCCCTCCATCCCTATTATATATATATATTTTGTGCCATCTTTAATTCCTACCTACCCTTACTGTATTTCATAAATCCATAATTAAATTCCACATTCTCATTTTCTTCTACACCCATATTTCTCAATCTAATGAATGATCTTTGAGTCTCGACTATAGAGTGCATGAAGTTATTATTGTAATTCTATTTTTGTCTATTTTTTCGAATTTTACACTTGTCCTATATTTCATTTTTATTACTTCGATTAGATATCTATAAATGAATTAAGTTTGCATCTACCCATCAATTTAAATTTTTTGATTAATTGGTGGTTTATTAATGTTTACGGTAGTATTAGAGTAGGAGGTAATATGTGTTGTTTCCTCCCTATTTTTTTTTTTTTTATTTTCATTATTCGACCTTTGTGCAATTTTTCAAGCTCACAAGTGAGCGAGAGTTTAGATATCCATAAATGAATTAAATTTATCTCTATCAATCAACGTAAGTTTTTTGGTTGATTGATGGTTTATTTATATTGAAGAATTTTTATTCAATTAAATATAGTATCGATGTGGGGATGTGAGATTGAACATCTGATCTCTAGATAAAGAAACAGAATGCTTTAACTACAACGTAGCGCTATAGCCTATAAGGAGAAACTTTTTCCATTTTACCCTTTTATTTTTAATTTATTGTAATTCTCTTTAGTTTTTCCTTTTCATTTACTCTTTTAGTTCATTTTAATTTTGTAAAATTTAAAATTTTGTACTGTTTTTATTTTTAATAAAACCAAACATCATTTTCCACGGCTAATAAAATGTCTATACATTTCATTTTTGAAAATTTCCACTACAAGATCGAATTAATTATTAGTAATTGTGACAATATGTATAAATTGCATTTTTCTAATTATTTTTATTTTAACACAACTTTTAATACAAATTTACAGTTCCACCTCGATAAATTTAGTGAGTGAAATTTGTCCTGCCAAAATCATAACGGAAATGAGTGATACAAAATGAAAATGAAGAGACCAAATTGATCAAAAGTACACATACCAAAACAGATGTTTTAAAAGTACATTTCCTAAAATAAACATAAAAAATTACAGAGTATAAGAGTTGAAATAAACATTTTGAAAGTTCATGGACTAAAATAGTATTTAAACAAAAAGAAATCGAAAATAAAAAAATATTATCGCATAGGTTAGAACGTTGAATCATGTATGATATGATTGATAAATATAATTTTGGTGAAGCCAAACCATCATTTTCTAAGTTTGGCTGTGAAGCACATAGAAAAGAGTACTCCTTTTTCTAAATATACCTCCTTGTTGGTTTGTTTGTTTTTAGGGCTGTATTTATCTCTTTTGACTTTATCTTAAAAGTTATGCACATTTTCCACATCATCCAAAAGGAATCCCCAATTCCTTTTTCTGCATCTTAACAAATACCCTATCTTAGTAGGCTTGGGATTCAAGTTTTTGAGCCCCACTACACTCAATTTTCCATTGGATCGTCATTTAATCAATGATTGTTTAAGCATTTAGATTTGATATCTATAAATAAAAATGTACGTATCTAGTAGTAAATAGGTCATGACGTGTAGGAGTATAGTATAATTTAACTTATATTTTGAAGCATAACTCAACCGATCAATATATCGACACGTCTTAAATATCATATGTTCGAGCTCTCCTCTCTAAAGTATCTACCTAATTAAATATTTCATAGTTACTTTAAAATAAGTGGTTTTTCCTGATTTCTAAAGATATTCGCAAATACATGATTTTGAAAGGTTAATGGGGTGAATCGGGTATAATTCATATTATTCCGAGATTTAGATTCATGTGTTCTTTTTATGAATAATTATTTAATACGATAATTAAATTACTTTGACATATTTGCATAAAATAAAATAAAAAGTATATATTTATGACGTCAATTAAACCTTGGAGTGTAATATTAATCTAAGCCCCATAATGATTCATAGAAGTTGGATCTCATCATTTTTCATTCTGGTAGCCGACAT